GATTTGGCCCTACGTGGTACGTCAGCTCAAAGCTACTGAGCCCGGCGGGGTACGTGAAGCAGACGAACTTGGGCATCGTGTAGCGCATTGGCTCGCCGCGCAGGCGTGCAGTCACATTCACGCTCGACTGGGGGAAGAGGCCAGCCCCCTCGCTGCCGTCGGTTGCGCACGTCTTTATGTCGACGACCGCATTGCTCGGACCCCGGGCATACCCCGAGACGCCGTTGCTCGGGCACAAGTCATAGTCCTCGCAGGTGAAGCCGCCGCTAGGACCCGCGAGCACATCGAGCCACGTCACCGGGTTATCACTGCCGATGCCCTCTCGCAAGGCTGTGACGAGCTTGCAGCCAGCCGAGGGAGTCGTCACTTCCAAGTACTCGTCGCCCTTGATGTTGTCGCACAGGTAGTATGAGAGCGCGTGCCCCTCAGGAACGCCGTCCTCCCCACCTCCATGATGAAAGTAGTCAAGGATGCCACACGCCTGGTGATCGGACCCAGTGAAGGTGAGGCACAGTGCGGCATGAGACCATTCAGATTCGGTGGTCATGCAGGGCTATACTCGAGGGTTTACCTCAATCGATTCTGACAGAACCCCGTCGACCCCCGTGTCGATGTCGAAGAAGCAAAAGTCGAAAGCTGCACAGCGGGTCGCACGGGGTTCTGTCAGCGTTGTGCAGCTGTGCGCGGACGACTACTCCATGGAGGTGCGGTGGCGCGCACAATGTGGCACTTCGACGGGCACTTTCTCCGGGTCGTCCGAGTCGGCAAACGCGAACTTGAACCGCGTGTCGGTGCCGGCGGCGACCGAAACCTCACCGAAGGAATTGCCCTGCCGCCCATTGTTCATCGAGCTCCACGGCGTATACTCGGTCTCGTTCGTCAGGATGAGATCCTGCGGAGGTGGCCAAGCGGAGTGGGGTGAATGAGGTGGTCTGAGGTTGGGTGGGGTATGATCAATAGGCTGCGGCACCAAGACCCGGACCGGCTCGCTTTGTGTGCCGTCGTACTGCTTGGCAACTTGCGAAAAGAGCAGCTGCTGTGGTGAGCCCGGAGGTGCGGGTGGAAGGTCCGAACAGACGCAGCCGCAGCCGCATGGGCAGCCGCCGAGAGGCGGCTCCACTCCCCAGTCCAGCTTTCCTTTGCACACGTTGTTCTCTTTGTTGAGGGTCACGCCAGGGCCGCGATAACCTCCGAGGTTGTTGATGTCATTGCTGTACCCAGCCCCGTCAAAATCGATGCTAAGGCCCTCCGGAAAGCAGGCTGTCGGTGCAATCGTTGGTGCAACCGTTGGAGCATTTGTCGGCGCAATCGTTGGCAAGCTTGCGCAAATCACCTTCTCTTTGCTACACCGGTCCTCTCCCTCCTCCTTGTAGCACAGATGGTACTTGCCTTCTGCGGCATCCTTCACCGCATAGAAAGACGCGCAATCGCTAATATCTGCGCCGGTACCACATTTGTCAACTTCTGCGCGCCCTGCCAGGTCGCTGCAGGAAAGTGGCGGCGGCGAGGGTGGCGGCGCAGGCGGCGGCGGCGACGGCGGAGGCGGCGATGGCGGGGGAGGAGACGGCGGTGGAGGGGAAGGCGGAGGCGGGGAGGGGGGTGGGTAGCAGCCTGTGATTGCATCTGAGGAGGCGCAGCTCGTCTTGCCGACCTTGGTGGGCGTCTCACAGAGTTTGAACTGGCCCTTGTTGTTTGTCCAGTAAAAGTTGGTGCAGTCATTGGCCGGGTATGCAACGTGACTGCACTTGCTAGTGACGGTACGCCCTGCGATGCTAGTGCACAGCAGCGGGGGGGACGGCGGCGGCGATGGCGGGGGTGGGGATGGCGGAGGCGGCGATGGCGGGGGAGGCGACGGCGGTGGAGGGGAAGGCGGAGGGGGGGAGGGGGGTGGGTAGCAGCCTGTGATTGCATCCGAGAAAGCGCAGCTCGTCTTGCCGACCTTGGTGGGCGTCTCACAGAGTTTGAATCGGCCCCTGTGTTTGTCCAGTA